CAAACACCCAGGGTGGACGAAGCCAAAGGAATTGCCTGGGGTTTGCATAGACAGCAAAACCACCATTAGAAATGGGCTTTAATTTTAATTTTAGTTTTTATTTTTATTTTTTACTTGTTTTTATTTTTATGTTTATTCTTGTTTAGTTGGTTTTTTCTTTTTATTTATTTATTTTTATTACTATTAATTTTTATTGTTTATTTTTATTTCCTTTTTAATTGATTTTTAGTTTAGCTTATTTTTATTTTATTTTTTTTAATTTAAAAATGGGCTTTTATTGCAAGAGGTCCTTGGTGCCTGGAAGCTGAACAGTCCTCCTGTTCGCATTTCATCCCCTCCATCAGCCTCATATGGGGAGATGCCCTATGTATCCAAGCCCACCATGGCCCCTATCCCTGCATCCCACTCAGCAAAACAGAGCCTTTCCCACGCTGAGACCCAGCCATGAGGTTTTGCAGAGAGCTGGAAGCTATTTGGCAGCCCAAGAGATTTTTGGCACCGCTGGTGCCAACTTCACCTAAAAGTCCTAGAGAACTAAAAAAAAAAAAAAAAAGAAGTGAAAATGCGCAGCGCTGACAGTTTCGGAGTCAAAAACAGGAAGGGGCTGGGGCTGGTGCACAAAGCAGGCGTTTGATCAAGGACAGCACTGGAAGGGAGCCCAGGGGGGCAAAGGGTTGGGATCCGGGTCCAGCAGTGGGGATGGTGGCTGGGGGGACCGGGCAGGTTGGGACCCAGCTGCAGCGGTTCATGGGAACTGCCCGCACATCTGCCCGCACATCTGTACAGTTCCCATCCTGCACACACATCTGTAGCTCCCATCCAGCCTGCACAGCTGCCTGCGCATCTGTACCGCTCCCATCCTGCACAGCTGGAGACCCTAGCAGCTGGAGCAGTCCATGGCAGGGCCCTGAACAGCTGGAGCCATGCCCAGCTGTGGTCCCACACAGCTGGAGCAACGCACAGCTGGGGCCGTGTGCTGCTGGAGGGGTGTGTGGATGGGGAGGCTCGCACAGCTGGGGTAGTTCACAGCTGGAGAGGAGCACAGATGGTGCTTGAGCACAGTTGGAGCCTTGCACATCTGGATCCCTGCACAGCTGGATCCCCGCACAGGGGAGCATCTCTAATTTAAAAAGAATCACTATAAATTCACTATAAATTGGGGATTTTGCCAAGGACACCCTCTTTCCTCGATGGCTGTCATCCCAGGAGGGTCTCACCCATCG